CGTGCGGTGGTGCCCCAATAAGACATTGGCAGGCCCACATGCCGTCTTGGGCCTGTCCTGTCTCAGTTGGCAATATGGCCCGATACGGCTGTTGGCTGTTGTCTGCTGGTTGTTGTTTGCTGCTGCCGGCTTTTGACCGCTGCCTGCCTGCTCCCTTATCTTTCCCCCTCACTTTCCCTTCGTCTCTTTTCTCTTTTCTCTTTTTTTTCCCTAGCCACTTTTCCAGCCCGACGGCTTCCTACACAACAACACACACACACACACACACACACACGTACGCACGCGCCAATAGCCAAAATCCGACATGATGGCACCATACACACGTGCCTGGGCCTTTTGGCTCTTCGTTCTGCTTAGCCCCATCGTGACTGCATGGTCGTGGGGGAATGCCAGGGCCGACACGCAAAGTAAGTGACCCCGGGGGCGTTTCAACTAAATGCGCACTAACCAACTCCAATATTAGAAAGCGCAAGGCGTACCATTTGTGATCTGCACTACAAGGTGCAAATCCAATCGCCTACAGCCCACCCCGTCACCTTGTACGGGGTGCTCGGGCTTGACCCATTCGCTGCCCCCTTCTACCCGCCGCATGAGGCCGGGGGCGTGCACTTGCCAAGCTACGAGACCATGCGGCGCAGCCTATTCGACACCGTCGCCGCGCAGCTACGGTTCCGCAACCTCCACCGGAGAGAATATGGAAGAACCCCCGGGGAGTTGATTCGGGTGTGGCTGGCAAGCGATCCCAAGCACTTACAACGCTACCTCGCCCAGCCCGATACCCTGAACATGCGCGGCCCGGGAACTGTGTCATACCACCGGGCCAGCGTCTGGGTGCTACGCGCCGAGGCGGCGTTGGTCCTGCTTGACGACAACTTGCGCGACGTCTACTCCCGGGTTTTTATTCCGGCCCTGCTTCCGACGGAGCCGTACGACGGCAAGGCCACAAGCATGCTCATGCGGATGAAGTCGGGGGCTGCGAAGCTATTTAGCCCGCGCGCCCAGCGGACTCAAGCCGGGCTGGGGCGGTTGCAGATGCTCCAGGCGCTGGATAACATTTGCGCTCCCACGGGCACCCACTTCAAGATGTTTTATTGACCGAGGGCAGGGTTTAACTCCGGGTATTGTCGTTGGTCGTTGTTGGTTGTTGGTTGTCGTCGGTCTGTCGTCGGTCTTGTCGTGATTTTTATTTGTATTTGCCGGCGATAAACCAAATAGAGGATACATGCTTTGCTTGCTTTACATGCTTCGATTCTCGCATTTCTTTGGACTTTGGCATGTGTTCTCAGGAGCATCATCACCTAAGCGCGGTCTAATCTGCAACACGAAGAGCATGATTCCTGGCGCCGACTCGCGTCCCAGCTGACAAAGCGGCCCCGTGATACCAATTCCAGATGCAGCAACTGATAGGTGACAGTGACGGCGGCGCTCAACATGCATGCCTAATAAGAATGTGGAAAGTGACGAAATGCTCCTCCCAGTTCCCGCAGTGGCTGAATCTCGCTCACGCCCATACCCGCAAAGTCCCCGGTCTGGCTCCTTCTGGCTGGCGTCGCCGGTGAGCCATCTGCCCAGCCCATCCTTGGAAACGCCATCAATGTCCAGTAGCTAGGCCTGCTTTTGCAAAGGCTTGGTGGGTGGATGCATCGAATCCTTCAACGTAAGCTGTCGCTTCGCGGGCATTGGGGGTCGGAGGCCGACGTTGGCCTTGACGTGATGCTGCTCTTGCTGGACGCCAATGTGGGCGAAGCCAAGGCCGACGGCTGCAGAGGTGGCCGGGGAGTCGGCTGCCGGGTTAGGGCGGGGGCTCCCAAGCTCAACGTTATTTCCGTCTTAGTGAATGGACGTGCGCGGGGCAAGCGGGGTGTCTGGGGCGTACGAGGCGTCATTGGTGTCGGGGCCAAAGCAGGTGCCGAGGCCGGGGGCTGCTGGAGGACGATGATCTGGCCGTCGTCGCCGTATGGAGGGGACCCGGCCACGACGCCAGCGGCTTTTGCCTGGCGCACATTCTTGACCCGCGGCAGGTAGTGCTAAGGCCGGCGCGTATTAGCAGGCCGTTGAGCGGGGATGGACCGTTTGTGTAGAGTTCGGCGAGGAAGCGGCGGTTGGGGACCTGCAAGGCGGCGTGGGGGTGCAATTGCAAGGGCACCCCGCTCTCCCCGCCAGGCTTGCATGTAGCGGGCTTGTCAACGTGGGGCGCAGCACACACTTTCCGAGCTACCCCTGCGGGCGGCCGCGCCTCACCGCCTTCCGCGCAAGGCTGAAGAGGCCCTCGCAGGAAGAAGGTATGCCGGGCCTAGTGGACGCCGCAACCGAAGCAATAGGGGAAACGCCTGTTTACATGGCCATGATAGAGCATCATTTCACTCATAGCTAGCGCTGTTTTAAGGTGGGATTTGGGCGCAAATTTCTTTGTTTTTATCCAATTTCAATTCCAATGTGAAGTCGATGGCTTACGTTTGCGGCTGCGGTTTGGAATGCCCAGCTCCCCGCTTTCGCCGAATGCCCTCCATAGAGAAGGAAGGCACTTTTATCACACGCCGTTTGCAGATTGGAAACATGCATACCCCCCTCCCGTTCCTTGCTTTCCCCCTCCTTTTTCCTGCATCCCTCTCTCCCCCTCCCGGCGCTTTCCCCCTCTCCCCTTCCTTTTCTCCTTCTCCCGACCGGTCCCTCATCTTTTATTCGGAATCTCTTTATATTCGGCGTCTCCCCATCTTCGCTCTGTCTTTTTTTCTTCTTCCTTTTCCAACTTCAACCACATCCTCCTTCACAGCCTCAGCCGTTCTCATTCTTCTTCGACCTGGCCCTATCCTCGTTTTACTTTTTTCCTTTCCCCCTTTTTACGTCTAACCACATCCTCCATCCTCCTTTGCAGCTTTTAACCATTTTGGTTTTTGTTCGACCTTTCCTTTTCTTTCAATTTTCCATTGCCACTCCGTGTGAAATCCATGTCAGACCAACGTCGAACTCGCAGCAGCGGCAGCAGCCAACGCCGGCCTATTAGGTCGGCGAGTGACGACCGTGCCGCACTCCACGTGCCCCAGCCCAGCTGTGGCTCGGGAAACCCCGACGACCATACCACAAGCAGCGCGGTCTCGTCTGCGAACGATACCACAAGCGACGCGGACTTGTCTGTGGACTACACCACAAGCGATGCGGACTCGTCTGTGGACCATACCCACAGCAACCCCGGCCTGTATGCGAACCATTACTCCTCTCTTCAATGGTATAGCCAGTCCGCCTATGGCCAAGAGAGCTTCGGCCCTGAGGCGGCCTCGGCCTCGGCCTCTGGGGGCCCGTCCTTCGACCTGCAGCAGCCCTTGCCCCAGCAGCAGCAGCCTTTGCTCCAGCAGCACCTCTTGCTCCAGCAGCAGCCCTTGCTCCAGCAGCAGCAGCAGCCCTTGCTCCAGCAGCAGCAGCAGCCCTTGCTGCCCCCGGGGCAGCTCCCCGGGCGGCTGCTGCCCCCCGGGCGGCTCCCCGGGCAGCTCCCCGGGCAGCGGCAGCCCCTTCCCCCGCAACCCCTTCCCCCGCAGCCCCTTCCCCCGCAGCCGAACCGGCAAGACGCCCGGCTTGTGGACGTTTCCGGAGCCAATGGCAGCGCTCGCAACCAAGGCGGCCGGCTTGGGAACGCGCGGGCCTTCCTCCGGAAGCTGTGGGAACCCGTTCGGTACATGCGGGCATGCTTTTGGAACGTCTTGGTCCCGTTTATCTGCTGGACCTGGCCCTGGGTCAAACTCATTGTCCTGCCCCCAATTCTCCTCTACGCGCTCTGGTTTCTTTACTGGCACGTCATCGACTTGGCATCGGTAACCCGCTATTGCGGTGGCACCTGGGCATCGGTGGTCCGCTTCCGCGACAACATGCTGGCTGAGCAAGAAGGCGGTGCCCTTTGGTACCAAGCCATCTTCCAGACTGCAGCGCCATTGCTCGGCTACACTTCGCTTGCCGCCGACAAGGCAGCTAAGCGCGCGACCTTCACCGCGACTATACGCCCAGTCAAACCCATACTTCCCAAGCTTCTCGACGCGTTCGCCGCCCACGATGCTTTAGAGGACGCATTGGACTCGTGGCTAGGCTGGGAGTTCAAGGTTAGCTTTCTCCCGAGTGCCAGCGTTACCATGTCGGAAGCCAATTTGCGCTACTGGCTGGGCGATTTAAACCAGCAATTGCACTCCATCCTTGAGGAAGCCGAAATCAGCTTCCAGATGCTTCAGTCGGAACTTCAGCAAGAGCCGGCCAGCCGTCACTTTCTCGCAGCCAACAACACCGCGTCCGGCCCCGGTGTCTTCTGCCGCGCGGTAGGCCCTAGCTTGGCCGCCCATCTGTTCTGCTCTCCAAGCGACGACTTCCGAGCCACGCGCGAGGTGTGGCTCCGCTTCCGCGAGCTCGGCCGCGTGCTGCAGGAGCTCCACGACGGTGTTAAGCCGCTGTTGGCACGTGCCGCCGGTGACGACGTCGAGATGTGGATGATACGTCCCTCGGGTGACGACAAGAACCCCCAGTCGAGCGTTCGATTGATGGTCCAGCGTTTCACCAAGCAGATGTGCAAAGCGGCTGAATCGTGCCAGGACCTGCTGCGCAAGGGTAAATTGGACCTGAAATGTTCCGACTTTCCCGAACTGAATCAGAAACAGCGTCGGATTTGTACGAACTATGCCAGGAAGCAAGGCCCGCCCGACACGGTCAAACTTGCCGACCACATGCAGGGCGCGGAAGCGGCCTTCACGTTTTTTTGTTACACGGCCAAGGTGTCCAGCGAGCAGTACGACGCGCTCTTTTCGCGCCGTGGCGAGGGCCTGCACGGCCTGCTCAAAGCGGTCAAAGCCAACATCCGCCGCGTCGAGCAGCACATGGACCGGTTGAGCAGCTCGCTCAGCCAGTATCGCGGCAGCTTCGGCCACCCCCAACCAGCGAATGTGGAGGAGAGCATGATGCGCGAGATCATTTTGCAGTGCCAGCAAGGGCTGCAGCCCTTTTTTTACAAGGAGGGAGAAAAGGTAGAGGAGGAACCAGGTTACCAGTGGAATGAGCCAATGAACGTGTAACAGGGCCGGTGCTGGTGGATGAGTCCCATCCATTCCAGCTTGTAGCCAAAGTCACGCACCTACCGGACCATCTGGGCGCCAGCGGGGAGTTCGTTTTGGGGTTTTGCGCGGGGGCGGATTGTACACGTAGAACAGACTGAGTGAGGATGCTTGCGCTTCAATTTATTTGCTTTGTGCTCCCCTAGTGCTGCCGTGCTTCCTGCTTTGCGCCGTGGGAAACGTCGTCGACGGCGGTTCGAGCGATCCAGCACGGTGGCTGGGCGTGGTTCGGCCCACCGGGTGGGTGCTTGGCGTCCTTTTGGCGTCGGGAATGTCGCAACCCCGGGGCAATGGCGTTGCTTTCGTGCACAACGACACGGTGCCTAGCCCCGGGCGGCGGCTGGTGCACGCGCCGCCGTCGCCGTGGCTCGTCGCGTTGCCAGCCGCTTCCACCAGGCGATTAATGGCGGCCTGGCTCGTGGTATACCGACCGCAGCACTTGTCCACGTCGATGCACCGCGTATAGGCGGGCGCCAGATCCAGGATGCAGGGGGCGCTTTGATCCGGCGCATAAAAGTGGTCAGGACTCTTACGAGCCCCGGGATCCCCTCGGCCTCTACGTCGTACTTCCGGATGCGGCCTGTTTTCGTTCCGGCGGTGGTCCTTTGTTGTCGTCCCACCACAGAAGGTGGTTTTGGGATGGTGGCTGCCTTTGTTGACGGCTTCGTTCGTGTCTTTGTTGGGCCGGTGCCTGGCCGTTTCCGTTGGCGTCCTTCTTTTATTTTTTATATTTTATTTTTATTTTATTTTTATTTTTTATATTTAATTTTCATTCCTGGGCAGCACCTTTAAATGCACCAACTCTCCCTGGCACCTGCCGCCCTACCCGATTCTGTGGACCTACGCGTCGGACTCCATCCGCCGTCGCATCAACTTCTTCACGTTGGGCATCAACAGCAAAAGGCTCAAGTATCAGTCCTATTGCATCCTTTCGACACGGGTGGGAGGCATGGACAATCAACATTTTCTGGATTGGCTCCGTGCTGCCCGCCGCGACCGCGACGGCGGCAGCAGCGCCCGCAAGCGCCCGCGACCCAGCGACAGTGCAGACATCATCGATCCGCCGACTCCTGCAACGATGGAAACCATCCCCGACAAGCGCCGCAGGATCGGCCCTTCGGCCTCCCATGGCGGCGCCGGAGAGGACCGAACCCCGCGCCCCCGAAGGCCATTCTCAAGAGCGGCCTTATCGCCGAAGCGGTCCGCATCTTTTGTCGATGAATCGTCGATCCGCAGCCACGCCCGCAGCCACGCCAGCAGCAGCATCATGAGCGAGCCGAGCAGCAACGCATCTGCTCGAAAAATACGGAGACACGTACAGTTGGGGCCGGATCCGGTGAAGTTTATGCCGTTTGCCGAGGCCGGAGACAACATCCCCAGGGCGCTAAAGGAACTGCTGCTCGACTTCAACAAGGTCGAAGCCGGCGCCGTGCCCATCATATCGCACTCGAGGCGGGACGAGATCCGCCGTTCGGAGGCGAGGGTGGGCGTATTTGAGAACGCCTTCTTGTCCGAAGGCGCCGGGCAGGGCGAGGTCGAGTCGCCCCCCCTGGAGGATGTCCTCAGGATCATGCGGATGGCGAACGAGTGCGCTGCCTTGCGTTGCGACGAGCATGCCTGGAACTGTGGCGTACACTTTCCGCTGTTGAGGCTGGCAATTCCCGAAAACAGTCTGCTCAAAATCGTTCCATGGTTTGTTCCAGCCTTCCCATTCGCGCCTTCCGCTGTTGCCCAACTCTCCCTTCTACCCTCCTGTTTTACCACATCCATTTATAACTGACGTGTGTTTTTTTATTTTTATTTTTGTTTTTTATAAATAACTTTAGCACATCTGCACGTGTTTCAAACAAGCAGTTCCTCCCCGCGAGCGTGCCCAATGACAAAATGGTCGATTTCTGCCTCGCCATTGATCCTTACTGGCCATTAGAGACGGAAGACTCAACACCTGCCTCGGTGGCCGTCGACGAAGTCAGGCTTTCCCTGTCTAGCTACTCCATCAGCCACACGGACTACGCGCCCCTGGCTCAATACCCCATCGCTTTAAGCATCGCGGCCAAGCACCAGAACGGGAGTGGCGCAGAGGCGGAAGCCCAGCTCGGCGTCTGGCAGACGGCGCAGTGGAAAATGCTCGAGGCCATGGTTTATTCAGGGCTTGCGCCCCAGGGAAGTGATGCTGGCGATATTGTCGGGCTTGCTGCCAACCCTAGCCCCGGCGCTTGCCTCGAGGAGCTGGGCTTTTTGCCGGGTATTTACATTGTCGGCCACCGTTGGACGTTTGCGGCCACCACCAGGGACCCAGAATCTGGCCGCACCACGCTTTGGACAGGTAAAGATTTCGGCAGCACGTCTGACGCGTTGGGCATTTACCGCATCATCTGGTGCCTCCGTCGCATCCAGAAGTTCCTGACAGAAGTTTACTGGCCATGGTATCAGAAGTACGTGCTTGATATGGAAATGTCGGATGGCTAAAAAAGCAACGCGCTTTCATCCAAAAAGGAGAGGGAGGAAAGGAGAGGAAGGAAAGGGGAGGAAGGAAAGGAGAAAGAAGAAGGGGAGGGGGGGGGGGGGTAAAAGTGAGAAGTGTAAAAGGGGAAAGCCTTGTAGCATTACACGTGCACACATGCAAACATAACGGAATTTCGCACAGCATAATGGCCAGCTCCTGACTCGCCAGGTATAAAACGTGCACTGATGGAGCCAGGACGGCAGGTCATCAAGATGGATAGCACAAGGACCAGGGTTCCAGACAATGCGACACCAAAAGCTTTGGCCCCATCAATGGCGATTTGGTTCGTCGTCTCCATCTTCGTTCATCCATCCACTTCTTGACAATCTCAAAGCTCCAGCCGTCAGGTCAACTCGAGCGCCTTCAAGTCCAAAGCATCACCAACAAACACACCATGACAGATAGCACCACCGCACCGCCGACCACCATGCGTGGCTGGCAGATCAACGCCGCCGGCCCCCTCACCAAGACCTTGCAGCTCAACGCCGCCATCCCGTACCCGTCGCAGCCGCTCAAGCAGGGCCAGGTGCTGGTGCGCGTGGCCTACGCCAGCATCAACCCGGCCGACTACAAGTTCCCCGAGCTGGGGCTGGCGGCGCGCGCGGTGCTCAAGCTGCCCAAGACGCTGGCCATGGACCTGAGCGGGCGCGTGGTGGCGGCCGGGCCCGGGTCGACGCTCGCGCCGGGCGCCCGCGTCGTCGGCCGCGTCGACCCGCTGCAGTCGGCCGGCGGCGGCCTGGCCGAGTACGTGGTGCTGGAGCGCGACGGCTGCGCGCCCGTCGCCGACTCGGTCCCGCTCGACCAGGCCGCGGGCGCCGGGACGGCGGGGCTGACGGCGCTGCAGAGCATCGTGCCGAATATTGTTGTCGGCGAGGGCGAGGGCAAGGCGGCGGCGGCGGCGGCGGCCCCGCGCGTCTTTCTGAACGGCGGCACCGGCGGCACGGGCACGTTTGCGATACAGGTGGCAAAGGCGGCGGGCTGCCACGTCACGGTGTCGTGCTCGACGGCCAAGGTGGATCTGTGCAAGGGGCTGGGGGCCGACGAAGTTGTCGACTACAAGACGACGGACCTGGTCAAGCACCTGCAGGACCAGGGGCCCGTGTACGACCTGGCGGTTGACTATGGTACGTTGGTTGTTGCTCTCTGGCTGTCCATCCTCTTCGGTGTAACGTAAACTGACAAGAAAACAGTGGGCACCCCCTCCACCTTGTACAAGGCCGCCGACGTCTACCTCAAGCCGGCGGCCAAGTTCGTCATGGTGGCAGGCGCCCCTGGGCTCGCCGGCGTCTTGGGCACCACGCGCAACATCCTGCTCCCGGGCTTCCTGGGCGGCGGCAAGCACAAGTTCGATGTCTACATGACCAAGAACAGGCACGACGATCTGGCGCGGCTGGCCAAGTGGATGGGGGAGGGCAAGGTCAAGACGGTGGTGCACAAGGTGTACCCGTTTGAGGAGACGCCGCAGGCTTTTGAGGAGCTCAAGAAGGGCGCGGCGACGGGCAAGATTGTGATTAGGGTGGGCGAGGAGGCTTAAATTTTGGTTGGTTCATGGTATATATATGTATGTCTGTCCCTTGCGTACAGCAGTAGTAAATTGGCGATGCATGATCAGCGCCTTTATTTGCGCAACTACATATTTACTATTCCCATGCCCGAAGCTTCCGGTGACACACACCATCACAGCCATGCACCTCCTCCCCTAACACCCCGCGTAAATGCTCTGAGCAAACAGCGTGTACGTGTCGGCGTGGCGCAGGTTCTGCGCAGCGCTCAGGCGCTGGACGGCGGCATAGCCATAGACACCAAAGTCGTCGGTCCCGGCGACCTGGCGCAGGTGGGTGGCCTCGTGCAGCGTCGTGGTGGCCTGGTCCTGGGCGTGGCAGGTGCGGCTGAGGGCGGGCAGGGCCGAGTAGTAGAGCGGGCAGTTGACCATGATGCTGGTCGAGGGCTGCGTGTAGGCCAGCACGCCGCTCGAGCAGGCGCTCAGCACGTCGGAGCAGTAGAGGCGGCTGTTGCCGCCCGTGGTGCTGCCGCACTCGGAAGCCACGCGCGCAAACACCTGCGCCACCGTGCTGCGCGTCGACGACGTGCTCGACTTGAAGTACTCGGTCATCTTGGCCGCGGACCCCGAGGCCGCCGCGGACGAGGCCTGCGCCGCCAGCGACCGGCAGGCCGAGACGGCGTTGGTGGTGGCGGTGCGGCGCGTGCCCGTGCAGTCGGACTGGACGGCGGTGCGCTTCTGCAGCAGGCGCGCGTGGAAGTCGCGGCGCACCACGGCGGCGGCGGCGCCGTCGACGTTGGCGGTGACCGTGTTGCTCGAGAAGGGCACGGCGCCCGAGATGTCGTTGGACCCCTCCGCCGCGTACGAGAAGGCGCCGGTCGAGGTGATGGAGAAGGCGCCGCCGGCGCCGAGGTCGTGCACGGCGGCCACGTCGAACTGGGCCGACAGGGTCCCGCCGGCGGCGATGGTGACGAATGCGTCGTCGGGCAGGCCGTGGGTGGCGATGGTGAGGCGGAGGCCGTCGAACTGGATCTTGGAGTCTGTGTTTGTGTCAGTGTGTATCCTATCCTCCCTTGATACGGCCGAAGCAACAACAGTAAACGCCTACCAGAGGTCGTAACCTCCGTCTTCTCGACCGCCTGCGAGTCCAGGATCGACCCCGCCTTGAGCAGCTTGAGAGCCTCGCCGCCGTTGTTGGTAACAGTGGCCTTGACCTCGCTGTTGCCCACCACCTCGATGGCGACCGACAGCGGCGAGTCGCGCGCGGCCAGGTCGATGGCGACGCCGCTGACGAGCGAGACGAGGAGCGAGGCGATGGCAAGGTACTGCATCTTGGTGTCGGGGAGGGCGAGGCACGAGGCTGGTAGGGAGGCAAGAGAGTGATACTCAGAGGCAGTCGCCCGTGTCTTTTATAGACAGTTGTCGACACGTCGACCGCTGCCATCTTGATGCCATCGTTCCCCTCGCGAGCCGAGGCATCGGCCAGTCTCCCGAGCTAGGCGATACTAGGAAGCTGCCAAGGCTACAGCCGGACATGGCTGTTTCATGCGTTATCCCTGGCGCGGGCGTGAGCAATGGCGTCGATGGCATCCGACCCAAGACGGCCCAGCATTCCGCGTTTGTAAGGTGGCTCGGGGGCGGGGTGCGGGGTTGGCCAGAGATTGTCGATCATCGGCTGCATAAAGAACTAGAAGGCGGCCAGAAGGGCCCGATGCTGGTGGCTGGCTGCCATTGGTGGGAGCCTCCCGTTCCGGACAAGGAAGGAGGCGGCGTTGGAGAGGGGGCCTGACTGAGAGCCCGGACAGGCTTCCCGTTTCTGCACGCACCCGCCTGCTGTAGTAGTACACACTTGGATGTGGTACATGGACGGTGAGGCTTTTGGTAGTCTAGACTCGTGCGGCATCGTCTCCGCTGACTCGGCAAGGTGACACTCCAATCCCAGGGACCGGGGTGGCATCGAGGCATTCCCCTTGCGCGCTCCCGGCCCTGGTTTGGTGCGGGCCTGGAGCCGAGCAGATCGTTTCCGGATCCGGCCAGTGGTTCCGGCAGTCACGATCGGGGTAACCAGCGTCTTGGCCGCTGAGCGGGGGCGTGGAAGCATGATTGGAGGACCGATTTCTCCTATGCGAGCCGGCCAGCACATAGAGGCAAGGCAGCTGCCGCGACCTTCCTGATCCGGCCGTGTGGCGGGCATGCAATGGGTTGGCCAGACCATGTCTTGGGCAGAACCCCACGATCTGGAGGCTCGGCTGGGCACGTTTCAGCGCCAGCAGGATCCGGCTTTGTTGTTATATTCGGTGGCATATATCTCGTCGTCAAAAACCAGCTGAACACCAAAGCAGCCACACGGAGCGTGTCCTGAATGTCGAGGACGTCATTGAGCTTGCTTCTGGGTTAACGACATTCCTGTCTGGGAAGCAGCCCCGAGGTATTGCTGCTGAAGAGCGAGGGGTATCTCATGGTTGTATTGCCGATTTGGCCACCATCTGTAGCCGCTAGTTTACAAACGACAGACATGTCGGCTCTCGATGGGCATCGTATAGGAGCAGAGGCAACAGCGGGGCGGTTCGGACCGGTCTCAACAAACGGGAACAATTTATTGTAGCTGGCCAGATTTCCAGTTCCCGGTTCCAGTTCCCAGTTCCAGTTCCCAGCAATAACCGACCTGCCTGATCCGGAAAGAGGCGGGTGGAGAAAGAGGGCACCATCACGACGCGCCTTCCCGGTCTTATCAGTCATGCGTCATGCGGGGTTGGCGCGATGTCGGGAGTGCAAAAGAAGGCAGCCTGGGTAGTCTCCAATCTTTGCTGTCTGGTCTGCATCTGCGTCTGCATCTGCAATCGAGACTTGACATCCCAGTTACATCACATCCATCAACCACCACACACAACACCCCTGCTCCGGCCCATGTCCGTCTGGCCCCGACCCGCCCGCATCGCCGCCCTATTCGCCGCCTTCCTGGCCATCCTCCTCCTACTACAGCGCCAGGCCACCAACCCGCCCCTCACAGCCGCCATGGCGTCCCCGGACGTGCTTTCCAAACTTGGCGTGTCGGTGTCGCAGTCGGCCGCGTCGCCGCCGACACTGGCTGTCAAGGTGGTCAACGGCAACGACGTGCCCGTCACGGTGCTGACGTGGGACTCGCCGCTCGACCCGGCCGCGCTGTCGCTGGGCCTCGTGCGCGTCACCCCCACCGGCGCCGCGGCCCCGCTCGAGCTGCCCACGCTCATGTTCCGCCGCATCATGCCGCCGGCGCCCGAGCAGCTCGTCACCATCGAGCCCGGCGCGGCCGTCGAGCGCGAGATTGTGCTCAGGGACGAGGTCGTGCCCGCCGACAAGCTGTTTGGGAGCGGCGGCAGCCCGGCCCGCGTGGCGCTCAAGGGGAGGTGGACGTGCGTCTGGGTCAAGCGTCGGGAGGACATCAGCGACGAGTCTCTCGACCGGACGAGCGGCGCCGACGACGCCTTCGAGGGCGAGTTTGAGTCCAACGAGATCGAGGTCAAGAAGGCGTAGGGGGTCCCGGGGTTGTGCTGGTGGGGTGTTAGCAGGGGCAGTGGAAGCGCGCGGCAGAGCTGATTTGCTTCGTTTGTATCTAGGCTCCATAGATGATTGCAGAAACAAACCAACCATGGCGGCAAAAGCATATCGCCTATCAAGACTATATCTACATTGTGAAAAAGTCCGTGAACGCCAGGGATTGTTATGAAGCCTTTTGGGTCCCCTCCTGATGTAGAAAAGAGCAGTAAACACAGAGCCAGAAGAGAAAAAAAGAGGACGAGACAAAACCCCCCAAGCAAAAGTCCTACGGCAGCTCGGCCACTGGTGTGAGGGCCCCATTCCTGTTGACATTTTGCGGCTGTGCGTGGCTGCCACCAGGCACCAGCGCCGCAGGGACGAGCGACGGGTTGTAGGGTCGGTATGCGCCCTGCTGGTCCGGCGACGACGAGGGCGGGGCCGGTGAGCCCCGTGGGCTTGGCTGTTGCTCGCTCCCATGCAGCTCGCTGCGCATGCTCCACGGCCTGGCGGCAGTAGCGCTCAGTTCCGACACGGCGGGCGTGACAGGGCTCGGCATGACGTGCTGAGCCGGCGGGGCGTCGCTGTAGCGGTCAAATCCGGCGTGGTTCTTGGAGTCGAAGCCGCCGCGGTCGCCGCTCTCGTGGCCGTGATGCGGCGCGTGCGGGTCGAAGACGGTGGTGTGTTTGGCGTTGCCGCCACCACCACCACCACCGCCGCCGCCAAAGTCGCTGGCTCCGTCGGCCTTGGCCTCCTTGCGCCGCTTGAGGAAGAAGAACAAGAGCGCGGCGAGCGCGGCTAGGCCGGCAAAGGCGACGCCGGCTCCGATGCCGGCCTTGGCGGCTGTCGAGAGATCGCTGGAGGGCTGGGGAGCGGCGTCAGTCGAAGGGGAGGTCTCGACGGGGACGGCACCCCCACCCGTGCCTGTGCTTGTCATCAAGGTCGACAGCGGCACCGAGCTCGAGACGGACGTGGACTGGCCATTGATGGTGGTGGGGACGACGACGATCTGGGGCGACGGGTAGTGGTCTGGCTCGAAGCTGATGCGCGAGCCCGTGGTCCTCGGCAGGCTGGCGATGCGCTCCAGGACCGACTTGTCCTTGAAGGCGATGGTGCGGGGCTCTTCGGGGCAGAAGCACGGATCACCGGACCGCAAGGTGCTAGAGCCGCCCTTGCGGCAGGCGAACCACTCCTCGGACGTGCCGTTGCAGTACGAGAGGCCGGTCCAGGGCTCGTCTGGGTGGGGGTTAGCTTGGGTATATGGTCGGGCAGATCATAGATGCCCCTCTCGTCAAAGGACGGCAACTCACTGCTCAGGTTGGGCTTGACAGGGCACTTGTCATGGTCGTATCGGGGATCGGTGCAGCCGGCAAGATACGTCTGCTTGAACTCGGCATTAAAGCAGGCGTTGGACGACAGGCAAAAGTCGGCGGCGCTGCAGCACGTCTGGCGGCCGATGGCGTCGTTGCCGCACGGGATGAAGCTCGAGTGGGAGCGCTTGCCGGCGGCGAAGTAGCAGGTGCCGTTGGACATGTAGGGGTCGATGATGGAAGCCATGCTGACTGTGATTACTTGTCGAGAAGGTGGAAGTCGACAGAGGAAGGCGACAGTGGAAGCATGCAGGAGAAAGACGAGGCCGACTCCAGCAGCTACTGCCCGTCACGGCACACAAACCGCCTGCAGTCACGGGTAAATGCGGGGCGAAGGCCAGGGAAGCGAATGGCGAGGCGAGGCGAAGAGAAGTGGGAGCAAGGGAAGAGAGAGGGAAGGTGGGATGGAGAGGCAGGAGGGAAGGGAGACGGAAATTGGGGGTTGGAAACGACGGGCAGGTGCAGACACAAGTGCAGACACAAGTGCAGTCTGGCTGGCCAGGGGAGGTGTCGGAAGCGGGTGGCTGCCGTTCCCGTGTTTGTCACCTGGTGTTTGTGACGGGCCCTTTTTGCTCGCCAGGCTGTCTGCCCAGGCCGGCTGCAACCATGCGTCACATATCAATGCCGTCCTTTGGCTGCACAGCTGTGTTGGAGAGTGGGACCAGGCTGAGGGCCGTCTGAGAGTCTTAAGGAGGAGCCTGTGGAGGTACTTCAATAACATCCAAAACCAACAGCACACAGACCCGCTTTTAATCAGCCCCAAACATCAAAAAGTGGCTCCCTTCCTCCTCCTCCTTGGGCAGATCAGGCAGATCCTCCCCCTCCAACAGCCCTCCCCGTCCTGGGCTCCCTCAGGATCCCCGCCTCGACCAGGTCCGCCGCCAGCCGCGCCAGCAGCCCGTCGCACCCTCGCGCCGCCAACACATTGACCGCTACGGGGTAGCTCTCCTCGCGCCCGCTGACCCTGCTCGCCGCCGTCTCGTCGCCGAGCGGGAACACGCTGCTGGGCACCCCGGCGAAGACGCTGATGCGCGAGCTGCTGAACCCCAGCGGCGGGGCCGACGGCGCCGTCAGGTACTCGTCGCGGTACGTCGTCCCCGCCGGTGCGCCGTCGACAAGCACCACCAGCGACGACGAGCACTCGTCGCCTGTAGCCCGCGGCAGCACCTGCTCGTTGAACCACCCGCCGAACAGCGTCTTGTTGCGTTGCGCCTCTTCCAGTGCCGATTCCGGCAGCCCGTCGCCGTATGCCCACCGCGCGCGCGCCTGCGGGTTCACAAACGGCCGCCGACCCTGGTGCGCCGCCGCGTAGTCGCTGTACAAGGGGTCCCGCACCAGCACTGTTTGCTGCTTGGTGATGAGCACCCCGTACACCAGCCCCAGCAGCTCGTCCAGCGTCGCCCCCGCCGCCCCCGACGGGCGCGTGCGCTCCCACTCGTCGGCCAGCCCCAGTGCCTCTACTTTCCCGCAGCCTACAAAGTGCTTGAGCTTGCGCACAAAGTCGTGCACCAGCACCGCCCGCTGCGAGGTCGAGTTGGCAGCCGGAAGTCCCATGGTGTAAATCTTGGGCGGGTACCTGGCCCTGCCCGCCGCGGCCAGGGACGTGTAGTTGTCGGCAAACAGCGCCTTGTTGGCCGCGTCCCAGAGGCGGGCGTCGCGCAGCAGGAACCCCGGCGTGTCCAGCGCCGGCGACAGCGGCAGCACCCCGTCCAGCTCGACCAGCCCGTGCGTCGGCCGGTTCCCAAACACGCCGCCCACCGCCGCCGGGATCCGGATGGACCCTCCCGTGTCGGAGCCCACCGACAGGTCGAGCCACGGGTAGCTGGCCATGGCCGCGCCCGCGCCCGACGACGAGCTCGACGGGTCCTGGTAGCCGTCCCCCCTCGGGTTCCAGGGCGCGTGGTAGTCGACCCAGTCCGCCGTCGGCCGCTCGCCGTTGGCGAACTGGCTCAGCTTCTGCTGCCCCACGATAACGGCCCCGGCGTCGACGAGGCGCTGCATCGACGACGCCGTCCGGTCGGCCACCCCGTACAGCTCGTACCATGCGCGGCTGCCGCACGAGTTCTTGGCACCCCTGAGCGCGAAGAGGTCCTTGACCCCGACCCGCACCCCGGCGAGCGGCCTTTTTGTTGTGGGCGTGTAGTACAGTCGGCTGGGCACCCCTACTGTGAGCGACGCTGATGATGCCACGTGTGCCGACAGCGCCTGGAAGCTGCCGTCGGGGCGCTGCAGCAAGGACTCGGAGAAGGCGCCGGCTGAGTCGGGGTAAAGCCTGTAGACGGGGAAGAGGCGGCCAGTGCTTTGCTCGAGGAAGTAGGGTCCGGAGGGGGGCACGGGACCGTTGGGGCTCGTCTCCAGTGGCATCGTCATAGTTTCAGATGGTGCCCCGTCATTTTGTTCGCCGGCTAGGAACACGGCGCGCGCGAAGCCCATGTGAAAGACGTCGTCGATGCGTGTCCAGTTGCGGAATAAGCCTCCCAGCTCAGACGCTGCAGTCGGCGTCCCCACCACCGCCACGGGCCGGAGCCCAAACACGGACGGGACGCTGGCAGGAAACGCGGCCGAGGGTAGCGACAGGTTGCCGACGGAAAACGGCGAGACGTACAGGTCCACCCCGTCCAGCGCCACCGAGAGGCCCTGTGGGACCAGCTGCGCCGCGACGGGATGGGAGGCCAGCCCGAGGAGGGCTAGCAGGGCGATATGGGTGCTGACCATGCTGCGTTGTGATGTGTCTGTGGTAGAGCAGCACGAGACGGCTGTCCAGTGTAGGCCCAGTGCCACCTCGTGGTGAGGCCAGACCTAGACCGTGTCTTTATTAGTATCCGCCATTATCGGCCTGCCGCCCGAAGGCCCGACTGCGGGGGCTATCGTGTCGTTGGCATCTTGGCTGCCACCAAGGCGTGCAGGTCATGACATGTCCCGATAAGCGTGCAGGTTTCCGGTCGCAGCCCCTGGGTTCGCTATCTGTCCTGGAATAGGTTAGTGTTATCTATGCCCATGGTGGGGTCTGCATGTTAGTGTGCTTGGTATGTACCACCATGAATCGCACTTCCGAGAGTGCCCCAATAAGCTGCCATGTCGTGACACGGTGTCAACCAACGGTCCGATGGTGTAGTCGGTTATCACGTGAGCTTAACACGCTCAAGGTCCTCAGTTCGATCCTGGGTCGGATCATGGTTACTTCTTTTTATTTCGTCCCTTTTGCTTTTGATACTTCTTTGCGAGGTTGCTGGAGTTGGCACCGGGTTGCCCTCCATGATGTGCAGGCTCGCCCTGGACGCGCCCTGTCAGCCACTCGGCCTCGGTCATCTTGCCGGCGTTGAAGGCGACCACGGCGCGGACGTCGTCGCGGGTTTCGGGGAAGCTCTGCCGCAGCGCGCCCACTAGGACACGACTAGACTTCAGGACCTTGTCGCGGACAGTCCGGCAAATACTACTGTTCCGTAGAAAAGACGAACGCGGCCTGCGTGGCGATGGACGGCTCGTCGCCGCCCCCGTGTCCCCTTTCCGTGCCCAGCGGGCGCAGCAGCAGGTCGCCCGTGCCACCGACGTGCGGCGAGATCGTCCGCAGCCTGGCGACGTCTAGCTCCTCGTCCGTTAGCTTCGTGTCCAGTCGTCAGAGCTTGCCGCATTGCTTGTCGGCGTCGAGGGCGCTGCGGCAAACGATTGCGATGCGGCCCGGCCCGTTCTGCTCATCCTTAACGGGGGACAGCGGCATCGCCATGATGACCAGCCGTACAGTGTCCTGTCTGGCGCCCGAGTTGTTGCCGCAGATGTTGAGCTGGCCAAAATGTAGGCTCTTCTGCCGCCAGACGCTCTGTTGTGACTTGCCGAGCTTGTGGAAGCGCTCAAAGAGCTGCTACTCGACCGAGGTCCCGGGCGCTCGGCCACGGAGCGGCCTGTCGACGACCTCGAGGAAGTAGGGGATGCTAAGGGTGTGGTCCGGCACCAAGGTCAAGACCTAGTTGATGGCCCAAAGCCTGGCCGAGAGGTCGGGGTCGTGTTTGGCGTGTAGAAGGATGTGACACTGGGCGTGCCTTTTGGTCGGTGGTCAGAATCTCGGGGGGGGATCACCTTTTTGGATTGGCGGTAGGCCTGAGGATAAGACGGGCTCCGTGGTAATGGAGCGTCCGCCGTCGGTAACAACATGGTAGCGCGGCGCGTATGCCAGAAAGACGGCGTCAGTGTCCTAGCGCAGCGAAGGTTCGAGGAACACGCGCCGGGCGTTAAAGGATTTTGCATGGTCGAATAAATCCTGGAAAACGCAGGCCGTTCATGTGTGTTATCACCCAGCCAACAAACAGCTCGCGGTGCTTCTCGTCCAACACGCTCGACTTGTCGTACAGCTTCTTGATTTCCTCCCGCCATGGCCCCATCTCCTTCCACTGCTTGGCGACGTCCTCGGGCTCGGTGGCGCTGACACGGCCCATGGCCATGGGGACCACGTGCCCGGAGTCCGGCGTGGGCCTGCTAAGCGTGCGCGCCGCCCTGTCGATGGCGCGGCCTAAGAAGTTGACGATGGTCGCGACCTTGAGTCACTTCAGGGTGTCAGACAAGTCACAATGGCAAGAAAAGCAATGGGAGTAATGACGGGGAGGGCGGCAGGAGCTGGCAAATGGTGTAACATAAAGGATTACAACACAAATGTAAGTTCCATGGAAATTCGCCGCCGAATTTGGCTGGCGCTGGTCGCCGATTTAAGCGGCAATTTGCCCTGGATGCCAAGCCAAGGTCCGCCATGGTTGATACACGTACGCCCCACCGTTTCCCTATTGTAACGCTTACAATAGCACTTTTTTCCGGCGGAAGCTTAAGCTATCGACCCTTAAAGTTAGCAAGGCGCCGTTCAATATTGAAATTACATAAAGCCCATTTTGGTTTTTTCCAAAACCTCGCTCGTTTACAAAAAATCAACCTTATCCCATTTTCGAACCATCCTTTTAAATTATTAAACATATTTTGCTTTTTTTACATTATCCGTATTACACGTTAATTTTTTCTCCTCCACGTTTGCTTAACGAATCCTGGCTTGCCACAATTTTATTTCCCTCGATTTATTTTCTCGCATCATTTTACCGTTTATTTTTTAACTTTATCATTTGCCAAGCTTTCCTTTATTAACCATAAGCGTTAAACTTAACTGAAAAAGCGATATCGAGCATCCGGCCAAGCATTACCAACGACGTTGTAAAAAGTTGGTTAATTAAGGAACCGTAAAAAAATTATATTCCGATTTTACAAAAATTAACATGTTCGGGGTAACGCGCAAGTGGATAAGGTAGCGGCATTTTACTAAAAAATTATTGCGAAGGAATAAAAGCTAATGATTTTTGGCAAACATTGCAAGCTGCTTCGCAAAAACAAACTGGAACACATTAAAAAATTAACCAAAAAAGACATTATGATTTTTTTTAAATGGATGCTTGATACGTCCAATAAAAAAAATTAGGAAAAAAAGTACAATTTACAAATACAAAAAAGTTTTTGCTATGCTGTACCGCGCCGCTATCGGCCGTGCTATAGCGGACGAAGTGAACGAGGAGCTTAACGACGTAAATGAAAGGGCAAGCAAAGGGGAACCGAAAAAGCGCAAAATAACTAACGACATATTTTTGGCTTAATTTATTAATGGCCCCCTTACAACAAAGCACAATTTGAACAAAACATTTAAAAAAAAACCCGTTATAAATGTCGACGACCTTTTCCTTGTCCTTTATTACCATTGGGTCCTTAATACGTCGGTATTTCCAAACGAAAGGTAAAGGTTACAATTTTCGCTTTTGCTTTTTTTCCAAGCGTATACTGCTTTAAAACCGGGAGCATTGGTATGCAAGCGAACAACCCATAAAAGCCTTAAAATGCATGATATGGAAAGCGAAAGCGGGGCTAAAGGCAATATATCCGATCAAGCTAGCCTGGAATTGGCGGAGGTTAAAACTTTTTATTACAAAAACGTTACAATCCTTTTATTTCCAAATCCAAATGGTCGAAATGTTTTTGCTATGGAAATTACGCTTAGGTTTATAAAAGGATAAAAAAGCGCTTTAATCCGTAAGTACAAAGCTTGCCGTCGAATTTTATGGCATTAAAAGCTAATAGCTTTTAGCAAAACATTTATCCTTACAAAAGTGGATACGCTTATTTTCGACGCAATTATGCACATAATTGTTATTGGCATATTCGATAACGTATTTAAAGCCAATATTAATTAGGTAAATAAAATATATTATATTTGCGTTTTACCACCCCGTTGCAGCAATGTTTTTCGTTGGAAAAAAAAATGGATAAATATTTACATTTTCCGCCAAGCTGTAAAAACAAAGGACGGGTACAAAACGTTAAAAACCGAAGCTTTGCATTATTACACTTACCTTTACACCTTATAACGATTTGGTATTAATGCGGGATTTATGCAATTGTTAATATCCTATATAATTTAACGTGGGGCTAGAAAAGCCGTAAAAGGTAAAAAATATATGCATTTACCATTTTTAGCTTAAAGTACTAACAATTTTAAACCGTTGCTATACAAGCTTAATTGCAATAGGTTATAAACCATCGAAATGCCGGTACTTACTAAGCCTATATTAATTCGAAAGTTTAATGCTACGTTAAAGCTGCCACGGCTCACACCTTATTGTCATAAAAAAGGCTTTGTTGTTGCACGAAAAGGAAGCTATTTGGGCAGAGCGTCCCTGGCGTTCTGTCGCGGTTTTGTAAGCGTAACGTTGGCGCGCTAAAAGTGCGGCTTTAAGTTCCTCCCCAGGTGCCCCGACGCGTACCGTAACAAAAGCAGTTTTTTTTGGCCAGCCATCGAATCAAGCCTTTTTTAAAGCAATTACGCATATGAATTGCTACGTCGATTCTCGGGCACTAACAGGACTTACCGCTAAACAAATTTCCAAATTGCAACTTTATTCGGAAATGCAAAAGCGATAAAAGCTTTTAAACTTCTTTTTTTAATAAATTAAATCGGATTTAAAAACGATTACAAAAGCATAAGCGGCCAATACGAAGCTATACCAATTGTACCAATAAGCGAAAAAAGCTTTCGATTTTACAAAAAATGCGTTAAAGAATGCAGCAAAAAAGGATGCGCGGCAATACTTTTTTAGCAATATCGATACGTTAAATATTAATAAATAGCTTAAAAGCGCTATATATAAATTGGGCTTTGGCTTTATTAATTAAAAATAGCCCGAAATCGAATATATTTTGGAAAAGCGCAAAAAAGTTGTTAATATTATTTGCAAAAATTTATCGCAGCTAAATAAAAATGCTAAGGTAAAGCATTAAATTAGCGCTAAAAATGCTATACTTTTTTTTGCCGCAAAAAAAAGCCGCAACGGAAACGAATGCTTGCTTAAAAAGTTTAAAATGGAAGGCAAAGCTTTAAACGTTTGCAAAATATTTGGAATTATGCTAAAACATAATGCTGTTTTTGCATTCGAAACGGCAATTATCGTTATTTTTTTTTTGTATACAAAACGAAGGATTATATGGAAATTTATTTGGCGATATTTAATGCATGCGGTAAAATTTTTTGTTTAAAATTAGGATGTTGCAAAAAGTTGCAAGGTTGCATTGCATTTAAAGCTTATGTTGCTTTAATGCATAATTATAATATTTTCCGAAAGCGTTAAGTATGTTTTGCTTTTATTTTTAACAAAATATTATTATGTATTAGCTTAACGTTGTTATTTGGGACATTGTTGTAAATATTTGTAACGGTTGGTTAGGGTTAACGTTGCACGCGCTTATATAAACTTTAATGTCGAACCATACGTTGTAATTTAGCATCGTACCTTTTTGTAAGTGTATGGCGTAATGGGAAAGGTTTATTTTAATTGCTACAATATTTATTACCCAATAAATTGGAAAATAAGTATTTAATCGCTAAATTTTTAAAAAAAAACCTAACTAAATAAAAAAAGCTTTCGTATTTATTTTTGCTGCGGCTTTGCAATTAATTTTGCGGAAGTGTAACCAGTTTGCGGCGGTGTCCGCCGTTTTTATTTGCATGCTTTTGCTTGCGGGGGGTTTTTAGTTATTATTTAGCAAGGCTTACGTAAAGCTTTGCAATTGTTTAAAGCTTTTTGCACCACCGAATTAAAGTTCCAACAAATATAAAAAGCATTTAATTTGGTGGAAAAGGTTTAAAGCAATTAACGGTTGCTAGCCGGGTAAGCAATTTGCCCCGCACGTGCTTTAAAGCACGTGCAGGCTATAAGCTAGCCAAATTCTTTTAAATTGGCTGGGTTACAAACAAATTGTATAAGGTTTGCGGGAATTAAACCCCGCAACCTTTTGCCCGCTTGCATGTTCGCGTACAAAAGGTTAGCCAAAGCGCAATTATTAATTTTATTAACCACCATTCGTAATAAATGCCGTGCTATAACATTAAAAACAGGTTTGTTGCTTGCAAGCTTATTACGTGCTTTTTGTTGGAAGCCCCGTTAATTGCTATAACGGTTAGCAATTCGTTTGCCGCTTTTTGTAATTTGCTTATCGCTTTTTAAAATTCGCCCACCGCCATTGCAATGCTACCAATACAAAATTACGATTGTAAATTAGCCAATGTAAAGCCACCAAAATAAAGCTGCTAATGTAAATTTACGAATGTAAAAGCGTAAGGTAAACATAAATAGTTATTTGCTTTCCAGGTTTTTTAAAAAGGAAATTTATATATGTTTTTTTAGCGGCTTTCCTTTTATAAGCTTTAAAGCTTAACATAAATTTTTAATTTCGCTTAAAAGCTTGTAACGATTTGGGTTAAAGCTTATAAGCCAAAACTTACAAATTAAAATTTATATGGTTAACGGTTATTAAAACGCGTTAAATACACCCCAAGCACTTTGCAACAGCCTAGTATGGTGGTATGCACGATTTTTTAAATAAGCTATGCAAACGAGCAATTTAAGCAATGGTTTAAATTAATAACCTTTTGGAACGCTATTAGCGCAATGGCATAAAGCTTGTACCATTATTGTTACACAAAAGCGCAACGCGAAAAGAAAAGGTGGTGCGGTGCTTTAACCCACGGGCTATCTTATAGCTTGTGCGCCGTAAATGCTTGCGGCGTGCGGTAAACTATCCTAAACCGTTACACAAAAAGTGCAAAAAAAATTGCCGGCAATGCTGGTTGGATTAATAAACGCAACCTTAAAGTGCGCTTCCAATTTAAAATTGCGTAACCCAAAAGGGTTCGTGCATTTACAATCCATTTTTTGCACCCGGAGCATTAAAGCTTTAAAGCTTTTAATGCCCATAATATTATGGTTTAATTGCAATACTTTTGCAACCCAAATCCAAAAATGATATTATTGCCAAAATGTTATTTAATTGCTAAATAAATGGCTAATAACCTTACCCATAAAATAGCATTAGTACTTTAGAAAAATAAATGGAGCTGGTAAAGTAATGGACATTAAAATAAGGCTAAAAATAACCTAGCATTAAAATGGATATATGGGGTAACTAAAAGGCATATGGAAATAGGAAGTAAAAATGTTTAACCATTGCAATAATAATAATTTTAAAGTTAAATGCAAGTTAGCCGTTGGAGCTTCCTGGAAAGGAAGTAAGTAAATTTTTTATTGGTTGCTAAATAATTACATTTTGGAAATGGAAGTTTTCCTGGTTTTTTCGGGGCCAAAGCGGTACCAAAGTTCGCATTTCGGCTAAAAATTCCTTTTTAAGCATTACAACTTGCTTTTTAAACGTTACAAATAACTTTCCCAAGCGCTTTACAAAGCTTACCAGCTTTTTATTGCAACATACCGATTAATATAACAACCAACGGTTTTTAATAATTAAACTCGCTAACCTCGCCGCTTTTCCGGCTTGTAAGGGCTTTTTTAGCCAACCAATAAATATTAAAGCTCGTAAATCCAAATATAAGGACGAAAGCAAAAGGTTTGGCCATTTAAAGTACTT